GAATCAGCTTTTGCCATCCGCAAGGCTTCAGTGACTGACAGTAGCGCTGTCTCAGTTGAATGGCCACTCCTGAAACCTGACTGGTTAGCATCTTGTTCGTTTCTGTGAAAGAAACAATGATACCTGGTTGAAAACAACTCGTTCAAGGTTTTTCGCTATAAATGGAAGGAGAGAAACAGGTCTTTAGCTATCTATAAGTGAAGCGTTTAATGTAGGTTTTTTGAGCAGTAGGATTACCTGAGCCTGTTTGAATGCAGTGTGGAAGGTGCCTGTGAGGAGAGATGTGTTGATGCTGTGTGTGAGTGCTGGGAAGAGTGTAGGAGAGATTGCTTGGAGAAGGTGTGAGGGGATTGGATCTAGAGGGCATGTTGTAGGGTGGCTGGAGAGGAGAAGTTTTGATACTTCTGCCTCAGTGATGGGACAGAAGGAGAAGATGGGAGTTTTAGCAGTGGGTGGGGTTGGTTTGAGGTCCTGTGTGTATGGGGCTGAGAATTGACTGCTGATTGTTCTAGTTTTGTCTGTGAAGAATGTGGCGAAATCATCAGCTGTTATAGAAGTGGTGGGTGGTCGTGGAGGGGGACAGAGGAGAGAATTGAATGTTTTGAAGAGATTAGGTGAGTCTGGAGCGCTGTTGATCCTGTTGAGCTTATCGTCCGCCAGGCAAAAATCTGTTCACAAGACTGACAGGTTTAAGTCTGTTAATTTAAAATGTAACAGCACAACCCTATTTAACCATAAATATGCACAATAATAATAATAATAATACAGTGATGCTTGCCCTAGCAGAAGCCACTAATTAATTCTTCCAACACCGAATGTGTTTGTCATGGAAAGATATTGCGTGCAAAAGCAAGTAAGGAAAAAACTACATTATAATTCATCCAGCTCCTTAACAAGGAGCTAAAATTGAACCGCTGGCCTAGATTATGTTCAAAGATCAAACGCAGATTTAATCTTAGCAGGCTGTCAGGCCACTCTGAAAATAAGGACATGTGATGAAAATAATGTGATTTCCTGTTAACTGACCATTTGCCAACAAAAGCAGGACAGCTGGCTTTTTAGTGCGGTGCAATATGGAATAAATGGTTTTACTGGAGCTGATATTTTTCATGTGGCTTTTTATGTACTGTGGCTCAGAATATTACAATAGTTCATACGCTTATGGACAAAAGCTTCATTGTTATCTCAGATCATATGGGCAGGATTGTTTGAATTCGAAATGCCTGGTGTTTAAGCCCAATGATCGCCTTCATATGGATCTTTCCCATTATGATTTTCTAGGAATGCCAGGGATCATAAAGTTCAAAGACTATGGCAATGTCACTTTATGTTTTGCATTACTATACAATATACATATAATAATATTCTGCTAAATCATAAACATATAGTAGATTATTGTGTTAAGGATTATTGTTGGCATTTTGTATTCTAAATGATTTACTTTCTTAATTCATGTTCCTGGTCTTATTGTGCATGACTTCTCATTGCTTGTTATTCAAAAGAAAATATTTGTCTTTACAATCGATTATTTTTATATTAATCTAATAAATCAAGTGATACATTGCCCTGCATCTGAAGCAACTTTTCTTTTTGGCTGAAGTCACCTAGACTGCTCGGACTGTTGGTTAATGTTTACTGCAGTGGTGTTAATGTTAACCAAAACTAAAACGAAATATATATATATAAACATTTCTGTAATTGAGATAAAGCTTAAATAAAATGAAATATAAATATTTAATAAAAACGTTATCAAGAAATATTAAAAAATGATGAAAGCAGATAAAAAACATCAAATTAAAATGTAATTAATTATTTAAATTTAAAAACTGAAACTGAAATTATTAAATAATTTCAAATAAATTATTAAATATTAATTATAAATTAACTAAATAATAAACAAATACATTATTAAATATTATTAAATTAAGCACATAACAAAAACACAAATTAAAATTAAATATTTAAATTGAATTAAAAACTGAAAATATTACAATTAAATAGTATTAATATATACTTAAATATAATATATAAATGGCACTTAAATATCAGTCATCAACCACTTGCCAAATAGCTATTTTCAGGCTGTTATAAGTAAATAGAGCTGGACCTCCTCAATCCACTCCAAACCTACATTCAGTTCTGACTTCATTGTGAGGTAAAATATCTACTTTTCATGATCCAATCTATTCCCACTGGAAAAAAGGTTAATCTTTCCCTATTTTCACTGAATATCCTGTATTAATTTGAAATGGTTTGTGTGTTGGTGTGATTTTTTCAGATGGGAGGTGAGCGTGTGGAACCCGTGTTCTGTGTCGTGTGGTGTGGGGCTGCAGACACGCAGTGTGTCCTGCGTGAGGTCTGTGGTGGGAAACCGCACTGAATCTGTGTCCAGCATAGAGTGTGTGGAGAGAAGACCTCCAGAACTGCAGGCCTGCAACCAGGTGGCCTGTCCACCGGCCTGGGAGGCCGAGGAGTGGCAGCAGGTTAGTGAGCCCCTGATTTCAGAGAAACATGACAAAAGTCAAAATAGAAATGAAATTCATCTCCTTGTAAAAACTATAAGCTGGTGCATGGGAATAAATTAGGACAAAATAAGATGAATCCCACACACTGCTGTAGCATGCAGCATTTCATGCCACATTCATCAGACTTGAAAACACATGTCAGAAACGCTGCATTAAAATTTGTGCTGCACAATATTGGGAAAAATTTACATTGCAAATGTTTTCCTGCTATATATATATATATTGCGATGTGAAAAAAATACAGGAATTTTCACTAGATGACTTGAATAGGTATAATTGGAAAGAATGAATCATTCTAGAATTAGTGGGCTTATTTTATTGGTGATTGGGGAGCTTTAAAAAAAAGCAGATTTTTAATCTAAAGATGTATTTATTTATTTATTTTCGGGCTGGGCAAGTTAACGCGTTATTATCGCGTTAACGCATTAATTAACGCCGACAATTATTTTATTGCGCATTAATGCAGTTTATTATTATTATTATTATGAAAGCCCATTGCTCACTGGCTCTGAATTCACATACAGACAAACCATGGGTCACAGGAGGGGTGGGATGTTGATCAGTACTGGCTTGGGATGGGTGTCATCACGTGTCTCAACCAATGAGAGCATTTAGGGTGGGCCTAAGACTGCAGCAGCGCTCACATGAATGCTCCCGATAAAATTATTTATGCATCAACATTCACCAACCACTGTTCACTGTTATTTTTAACAGTAAAGAATGCAACGTGCTCGTAATCACGACTTCACAAGAGGGAAATAGGAAGTTTCCGATAGCACGACAGCAGAGAAGCGCTCTCGCTCAGCACAGTGGAGTGGAGTGCATCGTTTTGTTAACTTTGTGGTTTATTATTTTGAGTCGTTTAGGACGCGGTGACACACGGCCCTCTCACAGTATATATACGCAATCGTGCTGCACGTATCAGAAGTTCCATGCTCCGGCGCAGTTGGCCCTCACACTACATGCGTACCGTGCCCAAGCCCAACTGAACCGTGCTCTCTGGCCCAGTACCTCTTCCAACCGAGCCCGGGACGGCTAAACGGCACGGTTAAGATTGCCTAGTGTGAGTACACCCTTATTCTCCCACATCCCGCCCGCACCTGCACTCGCCCATCAAGTGTTTTCCCGTGCCGCACTCTGCTGCGTTGGGTTCCGCGATCGGGCAGGTCTCTACTCGGAAGGTGCCTGTTATAATGTTATGATCGAGGCTCTGGACTCTGAGCATAACTTGTTTTTCTAAAACAAACTATAAAATATTTTCTATAAAAACGTTAATGCCCTGGCAGTGGCAAATAGCTTTGGTTTTATATTTAATTTGATTACATTAATGTTATAAGTTGAGATTTACAATAAATATTTTAACTGCTAATACTGCTGTAAAAAAAGCGCCTTATTTGTTTAAAGTGTTTGCAAACCAAATGTTATTGAACTTTTGTTCATATAGCAGAATAGTGCACAATACACTACTTTTGAATTCATTATTGAATTTTGTGCATAATGCGTTTAATCTCAGAAAATCATGCGATTAATCGCAATTAAAAATTTTAATAGTTGCCCAGCATATATATATATATTTATAGATTTGGTTTAAATTTTATTTTTGTATTTTCTGCTTTTTAAGTCAATTTTAATTAAAGTTTTTGTAATTTTTATTACTTTTTGTTGTTTTTAAATATAATTTTTATTAATTTTTACTAAAGTTTGTTATTTTACTACATCAGGGTAAACTAAATTAAAATTAAATGTTGCCTTGTTAAGTAGCTGAAATAAAATAAGTTTTATATTTTATTTACTTCAAGTAATGAAAATGTTTTCAATGGTTTTAGTTGAACATGATAACCCTGATTGTAATATACAATAACTATAATTTAATTTTTTTAACTTTATTCAAAACTGTTTCATGTTGACCCTAAAATAATGATTGAAAGAATGAAAAAATAATTATGAAATGTGAAACAATAAAATATATATATAAAAAATAATTATATTATACACAATAACTGAGGTTTTGTAAACATTCCAGATTTGATCAATTTGATTTGTTATTTCTCTTTTTATTTTTCCTTTCAGTGGTTCAACAAGACAGATTACCCTATATTTAAGCAGTATCAGCGATATCGACGCTTACACCCTCAACAGCCATTTTATATTCTGCACCCACGAATGGAATGGCAGCTGTGGCAGCGAATACAAGACAATATGGTGGAGACGATACAAAAAAACCCACCCTCATCAGGCTTGTTGGGTAAGTTATACTGAGTTAGAAAAAACAAACCAGGTAAAATTTAACCACAAATGGTAAAAAAAAAAAATATATATATATATATATATATTTCATTTTT